GGGACAAGCAGGATGTTTATATCTCTCAACAACATTGCAGCCTGGGACCCAGTCACGTGGCCAGGAAACTGCCATCCCCAGAGAGCCTCTCACCACCCTGGTTCTGGGCAGCATCTGAGTTTGAGGCATCACAATGTAAGAAGAATCAGAACCCAAGAATAGCAAAGCAATCCGTGCTGAGGAAGAGGCTGGGGTGTCACATGACACTCTGCTCATCCTATTGGCCAGAACGTGGTCACATGCCCGTGCTCAGAAGCAAGGAACCCTGGGAAATGCATTTTATTTTTTGGCAGCCATTTAACCATAAAATCCAGTCTCCTTCATGACCTACAGGCTTCTACACGTGCCCCAGCCTACCGCCCAACCATTCTTCTCCTCCTGTAAACTCAACCACCATAGACTCAATTTCCTTCCCCACTGCCTAGCCCCTGGTGACGCCAAGCTCTTTCTCCTGCCCACCTCTGTCCCCTCTGTCTGAAAGACCTTTCTGCCCATCCTTCTATTGGTTAAATCCATCCTGTAGGTCTCATGGTGGGTGCTGGCTGCCCAGAGAAGCCTTCTTGGTCCTCACACACCACCCTCCCAGCACTGGTGTAAATTAAGTTCTCCTTAGATTCACTCCCATGGCCCTCTGTGTTGTCTGCCTGGCACACCATAATTTGTTCCCCCAATCCTCTCTTTTATTTGTTGGAGGCCATAAACTCATAAAGGGGAGGAGTTTTCCCCACCAGCACCCACCACGGTCCCTGGTCCCAGGCCAGTCTACTACTTAGCGTAGAGCAGGAAGCCCATACTTTTTGGCTGCATGAATCCACATATGGTGATCGGCTTATTTCAGGGTTCTCAGACCTCAGTGCACATAAGAGTTCTGGGGGTGATGACTTGGTATGTAGATTCCTCCCCTGAGGGCAGCTCTCTAGGTTTAGGGAAGCAGTACCCAAGAATCCATCCCTGTGGTCCCTGGGTCATGAACACTAGCTACACCCCTGTTGGTTTCGGTGATGTCTCAAGAGCGTCAGGTGGGAAGCGCATTGTTGTAACCAATGAAGAAGGCAAGACTGCTATCTGCTGATTCGTTGCTCCAGGACACATGATGGGTGTTGCACACTGATCTCTGAGACACCGCCAGCTAAGCAAAGTCAAAATAGAATTCCCCAACCTTCCACTTTCCCCTCAGCCCAATCCTCCCCTCTGCCCCCTGTCTCAGCAAAGGCACCATCATCCCTCCAGTGATGCAAGTCACCCTGGTCTCCTCCCTCCCGAAATTCCCACGTTCAATCCACCAAGAGGACATTGATCCTGAATCCATCACATCGGTTCCCATTCACAGCCTGGTCCAGGCCACCATCACCCGGAAGTCACCTCCCCATTGGAGCGCCCAATCTCCATCCTGACTGCCTCGGATCTATCCCCCACCTGAAGTGGGCTGGGTCTTCTGGACATTGTTGTTGTTGTCGTTGTTAGATGCTGTTGAACCAATTCTGACTCATAGCGACCCTCTGCACAAAAGAACGTAACCCTGGCACCTCCTTCTCCACCTTCACAGTTGTTACAATGTTTGAGCCTATTTGTTGCTTCCACTGTGTCAATCCATCTCTTTGAGGGTCTTCCTCTTTGTCACTGACCCTTCACTTTACCATTCACGATGTCCTTCTGCAAGAACTGAGTCCCTTCTGATACCATGTCCAAAGTATGAGAGATGAAGTCTAGCCATCCTAGCTTCTAAGGAGCATTCGGCTTGTATTTCTTCCAACACGGATCTGTTTGTTCTTCTGGAAGTCCATAGTAATTTTAATATTCTTCTCCAACACCATAATTCAAATGCCACGATTCTTCTACAGTCTGTGTCTTCCTTATTCACTGCCCAACGTTCACATGCATATGAGGTTATTGAAAATGCCATGGCTTGGGTCAGTTGCACCTTAGTTCTCAAACTCATAGCCTTGCTCTTGAACACTTCAAAGAGAACTTTTGTTGAAGATTTTCCTAATGCAATACATCATTTAATATCCCAACTACTGCTTCCATTGTGTCAGACTGCAAAGTTGTTTGAACTGCAAGGTTGGCGGTTCAAGCTCACCAGCCGCTCCTTGGAAACCCTATACAGGGTCATTATGGGTCGGAATCAACTCGTTGGCACTTAACAACAACTTCTTCCATGAGCATTTGTTGTGGATCCAAACAAAATGAAGTCTTTGACAACTTCAATCCTTTCTCCATGATGTTACTTACTAATATAGTTTTGAGGATTCTCATTTTCTTTACACTGAGGTGCAATCCATACTGAAGTCTGTAGTCTTTGATCTTCATCAGTAAGTATTTCAAATCCTCTTCACTTTCAGCAAGCAAGGTTGTGTCATCTGTATATCGCAGATTGTTAGTCTTCCTCTAATCCTGATGTCATGTTCTTCTTCATATAATCCTGCTTCTCGGATTATTTACTCAGGATACAGATGGAATAAATATGGTGAAAGGCTACAACCCTGGCACACACCTTTCCTGATTGTAAACCACTCAATATCCCCTTGTTCTGTTCTAACAACTGCTTCTTGGTCGATGTACACATTCCTCATGAGCACAATGAAGTGTTCTGGAGTATCTGTTCTTCACAATGTCATCCATAGTTTGTTACGATCTGTGCGGTCAAATGCCTCTGCATAGTCAATTATACACAGGTAAACACCTTTCTGGAATTCTCTGCTTTCAGTCAAGAGCCATCTGATGTCAGCAATGACATCCCTTGTTCCATGTCCTCTTCTGAATCTGGCCTGAATTTCTGGCAGCTTTCTGTCAATATACGACCGCAAACATTTTTAAATTTTACGTGCTTGTGATATTAATGATATTGTCTGATGATTTCTGCATTCCAGTGGTTCACCTTTCTTTGGAATGAGCACAAATATGAATCTTTTCCAATCAGTTGGCCAAGTAGTTGTCTTTCAAATTTCTTGGCATAGACGAGTGAGTGCCTCCTGTGTTGCATTATTTTGTTGAAACATTTCAATTAATATTCCATCAATTCCTGGTACCTTTTTTTTCACCAGTGACTTCAGTGCACCTTGGATTTCTTCCTTCAGTTTCTTTGGTTCTTGATCATATGCTACCTCTTGGTTGAACCAATTATTTTTGGTAAAGTGACTGTGTATTCCTTCCATCTTCTTTTAATGCTTTCTGCATCAATTGATATTTTTCCCTTAGAATCCTTCAATATTGCAACCCAAGGCCTGGAACTTTCTTTCAGCTTGAGAAATGCTGAACATGTTCTTCCCTTTTGGTTTTCTAGTTCCAGATCTTTGCACATTTCATTATAATACTTGACTTTGTCTTCTCGAGCTGCCCTTTGAAAATTTCTGTTCCGCTCTTTTACATCTTCATTTCTTCCATTTGCTTTAGTTCCAGAGCAAGTTTCAGAGTGTCTTCTGATACCCACTTTGGCCTTTCTGAATTTCCTGTCTTCTTAATGACCTTTTGCTTTCTTCCTGTGTGATATTCTTGATGTCATCCCACAACTCTTCTGGTCTTCGGTCTTTAGTGTTTAATGTATCAAATCTGTTCTTGAGATGATCTCTACATTCAGGTGGGATCTGTTCAAGGTCATATTTTGGCTCTCGTGGACTTGTTCTGATCTTCTTCAGCCTGAATTTGCATGTGAGCATTTAGTGCTGTTTTTGAGCATTGTTTTTTGTTGTTGTTAAGTGTTGTCAAGTTGTTTCTGACTAATAGTGACACTGTATAGGGTTTCCAAGAAGCAGCTGGTGGGTTTGAACCCTGGACCTTGTGACCAGCAGTCCAGCGCTGACCCTGCAGCACCACACCAGGATTCCACTTGACTTAGGAGTGGCTGGTGGGTTTGAACTCTGCGTCTTGGATCAGAAGTCCCGTGCTGGTCCTGCAGTGCCGCCCCGAGAGCATTAGGGCAGTGTTGTTGTTGTTGTTGTAATGTGCCGTGGAGTTGGTTCCAACCCATAGCGACCCTGTACAGGGTTTCTGAGGCTGTAAATCTTTACGGGAGCAGAAAGCCTCATCTTTCTCCCATGGAACAGCTGGTAGTTTCGAACTGCTGACCTTACGGTTCACAGCCCGATTCGTAACCACTACGCTACCAGAGCTCCTTAGGCCACCCCTATTCTGCCCCTGGTGAGAACAGTGAATTTCTCACCACAGTCCACCAAGTCCCTCAGCACAGCCCTGACCCTCGGCACCCACAGCCTCCCACACCCCCTTCCCAGCAAAGCCTTGGCTGACCACCCTTAGGGTGCTGCCCTCTCCCACACACACACTGCCCCAGTTTATTTCTCAGAGGGGCTGTCACTATCGTGTAGTCTGTGATAGGAAGAGTGTGGGAGCACATGTGAAGGGCTAAGGACACAGAGCTGACCACACTGAGCTCACAGGCCCCTCTCCTGCCCTCCGGCTGTGACTGAGAGTCCCATAACCACAAACACCCCACCCTGACCCTCTGGACCTCCATCTGGATGGTCCCAGAGGTCCAGTTACCCAGGAGGCAGCAGAGGGTGGGTGGGCCTCAGACTGACTCCCAGTGACAAGGCCAGTCCTGCTGAGCTGCAGACACAGGCTGGGTCTCAAGGACAAGAGCTTGGTCTGTCGGAGGTGACCCTCAAGCTTCCCCCAGTCCAACCTCACCCCATACACAGGCCTTCGCTGCATTGTGGCTGGGGAGCACCCCCAAACCAGGTACTCGGGGTCAGATGAGCAGAGATGGAGCGTGCTCGGGGCATGGGCTTTCGGACACAGGAGTGGGTTCCTACAGGGCTCTGAGCATGAGGACAAATGTCCTGGACCTCCCTCGTGGGGGTCACATGTGGTCGGGCGAGGCTGTATCGTCCAGCCCAGAAGGTTCTATGAGCAGTGAAGTCGGTCACGAGTCCACACCAGTGCACTCTCCTCTAAGTCCAGCTGTGTGAGTGACCCTGGGACTTTGTACTCCTCCTTCCGGCACACACACCGGCAGACAGTCAGTCACCGGCAGTGGAGCAGTCATGAGCCGTTTGGTCGTCCTCCTCGCCGTGGCTCTGGCCACCCTGCTGACCCTGGGAGCTGGAGGGCCCATACATGGACGGGGGTCCCGGCGCAAGCTGCTCCTCGTGTCCTTCGATGGCTTCCGCTGGAACTATGACCAGGATGTGGACACCCCCAATCTGGACACCATGGCACAGGAAGGCGTGAAGGCTCAATACATGACCCCTCCCTTCATCACCTTGACCAGCCCTTGCCACTTCACCCTGGTCACTGGTGAGTTCTGGCCTCAGGCGGTGTGGGGATGAAGGGACCCAGTAGAAGGGACCCAGTGCTCCATTCTGGGCTCCAAGCAGGGACAGAAGGGACACAGTCTTTCCTCCAAGGATGGGAGGCTTTTATGAGAAAACCATTGGGCCTCCTGAGGTCAGACACAGCAACAATTATGAGGACGGTGCAGAGCAGTGTCTCAGTCTGCTATACATTGGGTTGCTATGAGTCAGCACCTAACAACTCCAAAATCCTTGGTGTCAATTGGTAGGTTCCTCAAATGGGTGGTAGCCACCCAAGGAGGAGGAGGAGGCAAGCAGGAGACAGAAGACAAGAGCCGAGCTGTCCTTCCTGCGGCTTACCCCGTCTCCTCCCTGAACCTGTCCTTGTCCCGAGCAGCCCCCCGAGCCCTGGCCAGACCTCGTCTGAACAGGCATTTCATGTAGTCAATGCAGACCTGAGGTTTAAATACAAAAAATCAAGCAGTGCAAATGGGCGTCAGCAATGGTGTAGGTTTCCTTAGGGCAACAGAAACTGGTTCTCCCCGTTCAGATCTTGGCCGTGTGGAGTCCTTTAGAAGCTCTGAGGGAGACTCGTCCCTGCCGTGCTCCTGGCTTGGGGGGACACTAGGCAGGGGTCATCTGCAGTGTCACACTCTGTCCATCCTCTGTTAACCCCCCCCCCATCTCTGTATCTTTTCTCCTCTTTTATAAGTCATAGGACAGACAACACCTGCCAAGACCCTATTTCCACAGGGCCACACCCCCAGTTGTGGGGGTTAGCACTTCCACCATCCCTGCCCCCACAACCTCTCCCTAGGGCTCTGCAGCCCCCACTCTATCAGCCACACCCCCTCTGTCCACAGACTGCAACTGCTGTCCCTCTGCACCACCCGCCCACATCCGGGGGACCCAGCCTTCACTGTCCCTCCCTTGGTATCTTTTGTATCTTTGGAACTTAGAACCAGGTGCTTGCATTTCCTATTCAGAAAACAAATTTGTAAATGCCTCCAGCCCTGGTGGCTGCAGGTAAATCCGCCCGCGTCTCAGTGGAAGAAAGATGAGACTGTCCACCTGCACAGAGATGTGCAGCCTCAGGAGCCCTATGTAGCGAGGCTCTGAGTCACAGTTAATTCGATGGCCGTGGATTTGACGCAGGGCACTCCACTTGGTTCTTTTGTCCTGGCCTAGGATTCCATTGTTGGCTATTTGCTGAGTGGACCTCACTCCCTGGGGGCTGTCCAGGTGGTTCCATATCTCCCCATAGGTGCCTCTCCGCATCTGGGGCACTCGCTTCAGAAGAAACTCCCAAAAGTGTATGCGGAATGGCCGCGTCCAGGGAAAATACCTGTAGCTGGTGAGAATAAAGCACTGGACCGCAAGGTCTGTTTGAACCACAATAGCAGCGGTTCAAACTCACCAGCTACTCCTTAGAAACCCTATCCAGGTTCACTATGAGTCAGAACAACCAACTTGACAGCACTTAACAACAATTGAGTCTCTGGGTAGCCTCGAACCTCCAACCTTTCGGTTAGCAACTGAGCACTTAACCGTTTTCAGAGACTCCCTGGGGCAGGGCGCTTTTTGCTGTGAGCCCACCCCAAGCCCTAGCAGTACAAGAGACCTTCTGCTCCACTCCGTCCCGCAGGCAAATACGTGGAGAACCACGGTGTGGTACATAACACATTCTACAACACCACCTCCAAGGTGAAGTTACCTTACCACAGCACGCTGGGCATCACAAAGTGGTGGGACAATGGCAGCATTCCCATCTGGATCACCGCCCAGAAGCAGGTAATGCACCGCACCCATGTGGACGCCCACTCTCAGTGGGAACCCTGGAAGACCTCCGTGGGCAGGCCCCTCTGACTTGGGTGCTCCCAGATAGACTGGTGGGTGCTAAGGCTGGTAGTACCTGCAGCCCACAGACACAGTCCTGCCCGGTCTACCTCGAGGCCCTCCCTGGAGTGCAGGACCAAGACACATGTCTCCTTCCTGGGGAAATGCTTGTGATTCCACAAGAAGACGTTGTGACTTTGTGGCGTGCCCGTCCCATGCCCCTCTCAAGGCTGAGCAGCTCAATTCTAAGAGACTAAAAATAAAATGGGGGGATCTAGCTCAGGACCCCCCACCTCAAAATGCTCCCAGCACTCCGGGCTGTGCTGACGGCTCCACCCTCAGAGCCCCCACCCACCTGAGCATCACTAAACCAACCCCAGTGGAGTCCACAGAGCCCTCACCGGCTCCAGCGCGGCCGCTAAGTCAAGACTCCAGATGCGTCAGACTCCACGTGCTCTGAGGGCTCTCGGTCTAAGGTGGACAGGACGGGTGGACCCTTACATAGTCATCAGCTTCTGGAAGAGCAAACAATGCCCAGCCAGAAGGCTGAGGGAGCAGGTGGGTGGACAGACAGGCAGACACAGCCCAGATGGGAGCCCGGTGGTCTTAGGACATGTTGATATCCATTACCTTACGTGTCCTTGAGCTCACTGGGCCCCATTGTCCCTCTGTAACATAGCTTTCACCCGCAATAATACAAGATAAAAGATAAGAACCCAAACTCCACACCCACTGAGGCTGGGTCAACTGCACCTTATAGCCACACCACAGGGCTCCCAAGACTGTCCTCTTTATGGAAGCAGCCGGCCACATCTGAGCACTTTAACCACTGTGCCACCAGGGTTCCTAAAAGATACCAACCACATTAACCTGATGCTGACAGTAAGTTCCAACTCCCAGCGACCCTACAGAACAGAGGGAAACTGCCCCCTTAGTGTTTCTGAGGCTGTAAAGTTTTCCAGAAGCAGGATGCTTCATCTATCTCTTGCCCGGTGGCTGATAGGTTTGAACTGCTGACCTTGTGGTTAGCAGGCCATTGCATCTCCTACAGTGCATGAGGGCTCCTTAAAAGATATAAAAGGCATCTCAAAAGAATTCAAAAGTGCATGGTGGTGTTAGGGTACAGCCCCAGGAGGTAGGCAAACGGCACGGTGGAGGCAGCTGTGCCCGCGGGCATGGGAAAAGCAGAGTTGGTGGATCCCAGGGTCCCACGGCCCTAATACTTCTCCACTTGACAGGGTCTGAAGTCCGGCTCCTTCTTCTTCCCTGGTGGGAACGTCACCTACCAGGGCATGGCGGTGACGCAGAGCCGCAAGGAAGGCATCTTCCACAACTACAAAGACGAACAGGAATGGAGAGCAAACATCGACACAGTGATGAGGTGGTTCACCCAGGAGGGCCTAGACCTGGTCACGCTCTACTTTGGGGAGCCTGACTCCACTGGCCACAAGTTTGGGCCCGAGTCTGCAGAGAGGAAGGACATGGTGAGACAGGTGGACCGCACGGTGGGCTACCTCCGCCAGAGTATTCAGCAGAACGGCCTGGCAGACAGCCTCAACCTCATCATCACATCAGACCACGGCATGACCACCGTGGACAAGAATGCCAGCAACCTGGTGGAGTTCCACAAATTCTCCAACTTTTCCTTCAAAAACATCTCATTTGAGCTACTTGACTACGGTCCCAATGGCTTGCTGGTTCCCAAAGAGGGGATGATGGACAAGGTGTACGAGGTCCTCAAGGATGCGCACCCCAAGCTCCACGTCTACAAGAAGGAGTCGTTCCCCAAGGTCTTCCACTACGCCAACCACCCCCGCATCACGCCCCTGGTCATGTACACTGACCCTGGCTACGTCATCCACGGGGTAAGTGCTGTCGGTGCGCGGTTCACAGATGGTCCCTCCACTAGGCTGCTGGGTCCTAACGTGTGGAAAGCACCCCTATTTTTAGCAGGTGGTGCCTTGGTGGTGCTGTGGATTAAGTGCTGGGCTGCTACCTGAAAGGTCATTAGTTCATACTCATCAGCCACTTGGCAGGAGAAAGACGTGGCCATCTTCTTTCCATAAATACAGTGACCTAGGATACCCGAGCAGGTAGTTCTACTTGGTCACATGGGGTTACCATGAGTGGGAATCAGCTGGACAGCACCCACCAACAGCTTTACCAGAAGTCCCTGGTTAATATGCTCAGCTGTTAACTGAAAGTCAGAGGGTTCAAATCCATCCAGAGGATCTGGGGAAGAAAGGCCTAACGAACTACTTCCCAAAACTCAGAAGTTGAGAACCCTGTGGGCACCGTTCTCCTCTGACACACACGG